TTTGTTACAGATGGAATAATTTTTTTAGTTTTTCTTTTTTTGTTTACATTTTTTGCATAATAATTATGTAATTTTTTTTTTTTTTTTTTTTTTTTTTTTTTATTAATAAAAGATACTTAAATTATTAAATCATTAAGTGATCCACGTGATCGATTTTGATTGGTCAATTACGGAATCGCCATAGTGATGGGTCACCCTAAAACAACGCCCAAAAAATAACAACTCCAAAAAATGATGACTCCAAAAAACTACTACTCCACAGAATAACAACTCCAAAGAACGACAACTCCAAAGAACTACCACTCCAAGAATGATGACTCCAAATAACGATGCTTCCAAGGATGACTGAGAACAGGAAAGAAAAAAAAAAAAAAAAAAGGTTAGAGGCAAAAAAGAAAAAAAGTGAAGAAAAAAAAAATAAATAAATAAAAAAAAGAAGAAAAGAAAAGGAAAAAAGGAAAAAAAAAAATAGAGAAGAATAGAATGCGGGAAGAAGCAGGGAAAAAGAAAGAAAAAGAAAGTGGAAAGAAAAGTAGAAACAAAAAATAGAAAAGAAAAAAAGAAAAGAGAGAAAAAAAAGAAAAAGATAAAGAAGAAAAAAGAATAGAATACTTGAAGAAAGAAAACAAGTGAGAAAAAAAAGAAAAGAAACAAAAGTGAAAAAAAGCAGAAAAGAAAAAAAAGAAAAGTGAAAGAAAAGAAAAAAAAAAACCAAAAAAGTAAAAAGAAAAAGCTAGAAAAGGAAGAAAAAGAAAAAAAAGTAGATAAAAAAGAATGGAGTGCAAGAAGAAGTGGAGAAAAAAAAAAGAAAGCAAAAAGAAAAATGAAAACGAAAATAAGCAGAAAAGAAAAAAAGAAAAAGAAAAGAAGAAAGAATAAAAGAACGAGGAAAAAAAAAAAGAAATCGAAAAGAAAACTGGAAACGAAAAGCGGAAAAGAAAAGAGAGAAAAGAAAAAAAAAGTAAGGAACAAAAAAAAGAAAGAAAAAAAAAAAAAAAAAGAAGAAAAAGAAAAGAATGAAAAAAAGAAGCAAAAGAAAAAAAGAAAAAAAAGAAAAAAAAGAAAAAAAAGAAAAAAAAGAAAAAAAGTAGAGAAGAAAGAATAAAATCCAGAAAGAAATGAGGAAACGAAAAAAAAAAAGTGAAAAGAAAAATAGAAATGAAAAGAAATAAAAAGAAAAAAAAGAGGAAAAGAAAAAGAAAGGAGGAAAGAAAAAAAAAGTAAGGAAGAAAAAAAGTAAAATATGTAAAAAAAACAAGCAGAAAAAAAAAGAAGAAAAAAAAGTGAAAAGAAAACAAAAGTGAAGAAAAAAAAAATGCAGAAAAGAAAAAAAGAAAAGTGAAGAAAAAAGAAAAAAAAAGAAACGAAAAAGAAAAAAGAAAAAAGAAGAAAAGAAAAAAAAGTAAAGAAGAAAAAATAAAATACAGAAAGAAGCAGATAAAAAAAAAAAAGAAAGCGAAAAGAAAAATAGAAACGAAAAGAAATGAAAAAAAAAAGAAAAAAGGAGAGAAAAAGATAAAAAAAAAACAAAAAGAAAAGTAAAAACAAAAAGAAAAAGAAAAGAAAAAAAAAGAGGGAAAAGAAAAAAAACGAAAAAAGTAAAGAAGGAAGAATAGAAAGCAGAGAAGAAAAAAAAATTGCGAAACAAAAAAAAAAACAAAAAGAAAAAAAAAATAAGAATAAAAACCAAGTGGCAAAGAAAAAAACCAAGCAGCGAAGAAAAGCAAGGTGGTAAAGAAAAAACAAAGCATTAAAGGAAAGCAAACAAAACAGTGAAGAAAAGCAAATGGCAAAAAAGCACATACTTGATCCTAAAGCGAAGGTTAAAATGAAAGAACAACAAAAACAAAAAGCCGATTATCAATTGTTTATATGTGATTAGCAATCTCAAAAATGATTGGCCGATCATATAAGGGTCGCAGTACAACGGTCGCCAATTTATTTTTGCTTAATTTTTTTTAATTTTTACAAATTATATATTATAATAAATTTATATATAAATATTTTTTACTAAAATTAGCCAAAAATAATAAATAGAAATATTTTAAATCACTGATTATGAAATATTATGTTCAATGTGTATATACAGCAACTGTATATACTAATGATTCTAATTTATCAACACTGACTAAAGAAGATTTGTTTAAAATGCAAACTGAAGGTGTAATAGCATATTTGCAAAATAATTATAAAGATTGTTGAAATAAAGTTTGTTAGTTTACTGAAAATTCTGACATGATACTTTCTGAACTGAATTTAATACTATATACTAAAAATTAATGTGAAGTTTTGTTAAAAGATCTAAAACAATATATCAAATTATTAGGACAGGGATTAATAACAACAATTCGAACAAATGCAAATGAAGCAGTAAATCATATTAAATTAATTATACAGATAAAAAAACTGATTAAGGCAGTGTCATTTATTACCTGATTTTTTTTTATAAGAAGCTTGCCTTTTCTTCCTCTCTTAATATATATTCTAATTAGGTTCTTATATATAATTTTAAAATTTTTACCACCTCTCCCTAAAAAATCACCTGATTTTTGTCACGTCTCTTATTCTAAATCTTTTTCTATTAAACATGCTCTTGCAGTTTTTCATAATAATGATGGTCTTTTAATTTTGTTAGAAACAGTTTGAAAAGTAGTAAATTAACTGAATTTTCTAAACAAGTTATAATTAATATTATTAAAATATAGAAAAGTAGTAATAATAAATGGCAATTAAATATTCATACAATAAATAAATAAAATAAATCTAGAGCAACTAAATTCGAAGAACAAAAAAAATGTATAGAAGGATTTGATTATAATAAAATATATTTTAAAATTATTTAATAATTTAATTATATTTTCAAAATTGTATCAATAAAATTAATTATAATAAATCTTTATAATTATTATATATTTAAAGTGTGAGGGTGTAGTGATTTAGTGTAGTTGGTAAGTTGTTGCACTTCCAAGCAGCAGGACAAGAGTTCAAATCCCACCAACGACAAAATTTGAATTTGTGGAAATGCATTAAGGTAAAACTGTATGACATGTCGATTGAGTCAGCACCTGTAACCTTGGTCTCACCAACTCGTATTGAGAGGTTGTGGAATGTAGTGTAATGTATGAATTACACAAAACCCAAGTGAAGCAGCCAAATAAATCCAAGAGATCGGGAGATACAGAAGCCCGCTTGGGAAGTCCCAAGTAGAGAGGTAGCACAGATCTTTAATAGCGCTATATAAAGGATTATCATCTGGAGAACCGGACACCGAAGGCAAACTGAATGAGGATCAAGTATTTGGCATACACCAACCAGGCCGCCAGATTAACTAGAGGAAAAAAGAATAACAGGGAACGCCTACTAGTCCCTTCTGGGCCATCTGGATTAGAAGTTTAGGGCGTCGACAGTTGGCATCAAAGTACTGTTAATAGTTCATAAAGTAGGTGCTAGGGTTTGGGTAAACTTTGCAAGAGCACAGAGTAGGTAACAGTAGCAGAGATAAAAAGCCGCAAATACTTGGCCGCAGCCTAGATATAAGTTACTGAAAATCTAGGTGATACATGTATGGGACATGGACCGCTCTGATAGGTTTACCACAAGGATAAAGGACCCTCCTATATGGTAGTGTGTATCTGCTTTAAAGTTCTAAAGGGCTTACATAGCAGTTCCTCTTTGAGAAAAATATCCCGACAGTGCTAAGTTGATCAGAGGGTTTAATTGGATAACTCAAGTAATAGCGGGTTACAGGTACGGCATCTAGTATAGTTCATATAGGTTACATATACAAGACTGCTTAAATAGACAACCAAAAGTTGTATATATGGCTAGAATGTATTTTTATTAATGTAACAAAGTCAGGGTTAGCCTATATGGTTACTCTGGTATTCGATCCAAAGTTTAATAAAATGTGCCAGACCCCAAAGTGGTCATCTTAACATTAAAAAAAAATATATATATATATTTAGAGTGTGGTGACTTAGTGAAGTGGTGAAGTTGTCACACCTCAAGCAGTTGAGTATAGGTTTAATTTTCACAGAAGGCGAAAATTAGATTTTAAAAAATGGATTTGGCAACTACCGTAGTGCACTGACCAAAGTACCCGGGGTACGATACAATCTAACCAAAAAAAAACTTACAAAGTACCCGTGGGTATCTTGATCGGTGACGGGTATTTTGTTAGGGGGGATATTTTATTTGGGGGGGTATTTTATATGGGGGATATTATACACGACATATTTTAAGTAATACAAGATACGGTATAAAAGAATGTCAATGAACTTCTATACCAAGAATAAATTTTTTTTCTTTAACGTTAAGTACCAGTATCGAAACAGAATAAGAAGCCACTTTAACTTCTTTAAATAAACTTGGTTCAGAAAGAGACAAGGCGTTAGCAGAGGCACTCTGCAGTAACACCACCACCGGCAATAACTACCAAGCTACGACGATAACGATAACACCGTCACCAGTAAAACTTCACAGAAGCAAGCATCAAACCATATAAAAAAAGGATGGTCTGTGGAAACTTTAAAGCTCAACATGCTCGAGCAACAAAAAAGAACAAAAGAACGTGGTCAGCGCGCGAAAAACTAATGATAATCGCATATTATGAAAAAGGACATAGTAAACGTTCAACTGCTGATAAATTTCAAATAGAACCGAAACAACTTCAGGATTGGATAACCAAAAAATCAGACCTTATGAAAGCTGCGCCTTATATTCAAAAGTTGTCACATGGGGCTCGGCCGAGGTATCCTGAACTTGAAGCCGAATTAATTGAATGGTTTCGAAATCTTAGATCTCAGCAAAAAGTCGTAAGCCGGTTTATGATTTAAGCCAAAGCTCGCTCTCTATGTGCTACGTCTTGTTATCAAAATAAATACGGGGAAATAGCAAGTCATAAATTTTCACAAAAGTGGGTAGACGGCTTTATGTTCAGGAATAATTTAGTAAACAGAAGACGGACTACTGTTGCTCAACGTCTTCCTGAGAGCTATATTAAGGATCAAAATGAATTTTTGTCTCTTGTGCTCTTTAAACGGCGTAATTACAACTATCCTCTTTCTTTAATTGGTAAT